ACCACCACCACCACACACGTTAACTTCCATCACCACCACTTCACACCTCAACTACCACCATCACACACCTTAACTATAACCATAACAACTTAACTACAACCATAACACAAGTTAACTACAACCATTACCACACCTTAACTGCCACCATTACACAGCTTTACTACTACCACTACACACCTTGACTTCTACCATTACATACTTTAACTTTCACCATTACGCACCTTAACTACAACCACCATCGTCATCGCACACCTTGACCACTACCGTCACCATCACACATATCACTACTATCATCACTACTATCATCACTACAACCATCACTCATCAATATATTACATTACAACTGCATTAGGTGTAGCACAGTACTCTGACAATATTCCAACCTCATTACACTGTTTTTTGTTCCCCATGGTCAAAAAATGAATTAAGGTCATTGATCGAAAGCCAAGAAAATTATATAAAAATGGAGAGCTTCAACAAATTTGAGTTCGTCTCCGTCACCAGCAGCCCCAGCAGCTGCCAACCACGACCTGCCGATTACCTAGAATATCCCTTTCCTCGAATATCCAATGATAAGATCACAATAATTGAACACTTGGGGGTGGGAGTGTATGGTCTGGCCCGTCTAGTAAAGTTGGAAGTATCTTACGGCGAAACAATAAATGCAGTTCTCAAGACCTCCCTTGGAGACGACTCTTTATGTACGAGGCCATGGCTCTCCATGACTTGAACGGAGCTGGCGGTGCTCCGATCCTTTATGGGGTAACAAGTGAACACCCCCAAGGCCTGGTCATGGAATACTGCCCTGGCTTAACTTTGGAACATTTTTTAACTTCACACACAAAAAAAGAATGCCAAAAGGCCTACGGTGCCATCCACAAAGCACTACTTAAGTTCCACGCCAGTGGTTACGACCACATGGATATACACCCCTGTAACATAATTATTGACGACTCAAGCCGACCATACAACGTTCACATCATAGACTTGTGCTTCGCTTACCGGCTGCCAGACGACAGAGAAGGTGAAGACTATGACTGGTGCCGCCTCAATAAGATAAAGAAGGTAATAAAGAAGATGCGACGACGTCTGCTGAACTCCATATCCTTCTTCTTTACTACACCGCGTACCCCATAACCCAATCCAAATATAAATATATAAAAAAGAGAGAGAGAGAGAGAGAGACACTGCCTGGTCATTTTCCTTCGTCACGGTCGTTTGGCTTGTTTCTTCTTTGTTATTGTATATATTTGTAGATTATCTTCTGTGTCAGTTCGTGTCTGTCTGGATATATTTGTAATTTGATAAAATAAAAAGAAACTCTCCCCTCAAAAAATAACTTTAATACGCTCAAGTACAATAACTAAATCCTTAAAGAAAAAATCTTAACCACCACTCGAGTTCGAAGTCTTAAGGCCACACACTATCAAATATGTTTGTCAAACATGATGTTTGATCATGCATCATACATCGACACACTTTACAACTTGAATGATCAAACTGGAGTTGGTGTCTAATACGCACCGCCTCAACACTGGGTGACAGCATGAGTAAGGAGGCAGCCTGTATTGATATTACACAATACACATGCTCTTGAAACAGAAACTTCAAAGAAAAAATTAAAAAAAAAATTATGGATGAAGGAATAGCACAGAAAAAGACCCAAGTTCTCTCACGACGCCCGTTTAAAGGAACTAGTGGTATCATCTCCTCAAGATTACAAGAACTTTTTGAGAATAGATAATGAAACTTTCGTTGACCTGTTGGCGAAAGTGAAGCCATACATATAAAGGGGGACACTGTCTTAAGAGATGCCATACCAGCAAGTCAAAGACTCTCTAGTACACTGCGGTTCCTAACAGCGGGCCATTCTTTTGAGGACTTAAAGTTTACAACTGCCATTTCTGCTCAGATTCTTGGTTACATCATAATACTAACATGTAGTGCCATAACAACGGTGTTCAAAAACAACATCAAGGTAGGAATACACAAATACATTAACCAAACTTGATATTTATTTGTTATTTTTAGGCGTTCAAACCGAAGCACTGTCTGGTAATAGCTTTATGAAGAAACACAATTTGAATATACAATTATATCTTCTCAAACGGGTAACCCTCGTCTTTAAAATAAAATGGAGATTATAGGCAAACAAATGTTAAACTTAAAATGTAATTTTTAGACTTATATTTCTTTACTTTTCAGTCACAGGAAAAAAAAACTAATTTTGTATGGGTGGTTCCGTAGTATGATACGGTATATTTAGTACAGTAATTGCATATTAAATGAATTGCATAAATTTAACATAACTAATCATGTTATTGTTACCCATTAAAAGAAAATCCATGAAGATGTATTCTTTAAGAAATACATTATCAACAGAAAGGTCATTATAATCTATATTGGGGATCATTGAAAGGCTCCGGAAATGAATTTTGTACACTGACTCCAGAGTCAGCAGTGTTTTATACAGAAATAATAGGTGTCCTTGTATTTCCTCCTGGTAGCAATGAAGCACAGGTGTTGGACGAACTATCAAATTGTGTGCCTGGAAGAGGAGTTGATAAACTGCTTGATTATATAATGTTTGGTTCACTTATTTTCACCGAGTGTCTGTGTATAATCCCTAAACGACCTTCAAAGAGAAAGCCGTTTAATGCCTTTCTAGCATAAATTTGCTGCTGCTCACGTAATTTTCTGAATTCTGCAGCCCAAGTTTTTGCCAGAACATCTATTGCATCATCAGTTCGACTCGGATGACTGCATCCTAACTGTAAGAGTTCATTTCTTTTAGCCTCGGTATCAGACGGAGGCGTTTTCGTAAACACAAAATTCTGTAAACAGCTGAAGGAAAACACTGCATATCTCTAAACCAAGTACCTGGCGTGATGTTGTGCCATATGCTTTGTAGGGGATGATGCATTTCGATGGACAATTTAATAAAACCCTATGTTCATCGAAATCTTTGCAAAGAACAGGACATCTACAATTACAGGGTATCATAAGCCCGTCGTGTTGTGGAATACGCCTTCTGAATATTGGCATCTAGGTTTCGGATTCTTTTGAGTACTATCAACCTTTGTCCAGCAAAAGTGTCAACAACAGTCTTGGCATGTTGTCAACTGCATAATTATTTACGTCGGAGAAATGTTGACCTATATTTGGAAGATGCAAATACTAGGCAGATTAGAGAAGAAATTTGGAGGTCTGACAGTAGACAGCCTATTCCATTAGCACCAACAAATGTACGAAATGCACCTGCATCAGCAGGTCAATGCCCTGGCAGGAAACTAGAAATCAGGGATATAGTTGAGTTGCAGGACTAATACTAAATGTTCTCATTTAGAGCCACATTGCAAACTGTACTGGAATAAGGTGTGCATTAATACAAATAGTATATAAACTTACAAACTTATCCATTGATTTTTCATTTCCATCTTCATTGCTATCCATGATAGACACTCCTTCTTCCTGGATTTCTTGATATCGCAGGAAATGTAGATCATTGTAAAACCATAGAGACGGTTGGCAGAAGTTGTCGGTGCCTGCGCCAGACTTTTCACGACGTAGAACTTTCTTCATTTCCCTCCTGTAGCTGGTGCGGAAGGAATTAATTTTCTTAGTAACTGTGACATGGTAGCAGTCGGGACGATTTCTTTCATTCTAGTTTAAGAGATGTGTTCTTGTAATCTTCAGTTTTCATTTGATGGAAACTGCTTATAAAGTTCAATAAACTCTCTCCATAACTGCTGGGACTCCCGTCCCGTGTGCTCATAAGGCTACTGCTACTCGACTGAGCATGTTTGATCATACATTCCCACACGCTATCCAACATGTTTGACAAACGTCATGTTGGACGAGAAAATATAAAACTTGTTTAATCTTCTTCAAACATGTTAGTCATACCTTCAAACTTGCCCACACACTCTCAAATTGTATGATCAAACACCATATTTGACACACATATTTGACATGTGTGGGCGCCTTACACACGCTGTGGACATACGCTCGCGATGCTTCATATGTGACTTTTCACACTGGATGCATTTTCAGGGCACTCAGTTGTATCGTTGCATCCATGGTGGTGTTATGAGGAAGAGGAAGAACTATTATTGCTCACTCTAGCAATCTCTAAGAAAAGACAAAAGAACTGGGTACATCAAACAAATGTGAAGACCAAATGGGCGAATACCATCATCTTGTTCAGGAGCTTTCAGATGATGAATAAAAATTTAGACAAGATTTTATTATCCCGCGTTCAGTTCAATGAAGTTCTATTAATGATTGAAATTATATCAGGAAACAAGATACAAACTACAGGCAGTCCATAAGCCCCAAGGAAAGGCTGGCCATTACCTTAAGGTAAATTAAACCTTGTGGAACCTTGGCCATTATCAACCGATTTGTTGAAGTGAGTACCTTATCCACATCACTGGCGGGGGGAAGGAATCGACTTCATCTTTATTTTATGAACCTTACAGGTATCTGCTTCGTTTGACGTGGATTCAAAGCAGGCATTTATGCCTGCTCTTCAGTTGTTGTTTGTGCAGTTGTTTCACCTGTTGACAAATTATTTTCATCACCATCATCTTCCTCATTGATTTCCTCGACGTTGGTGCTCGTCCTAACAGATATTAAATTATAATTAGGCCTATATATGCCAAGTATTATAATTAGAAGGGGAGGGATTTACTGACAACTAAATTTTACTAATATATATTCTTTCCATTGAATATACATCATGTGTCCGCACGAGAATCTCGGAAACTACTTTACCGATTTGGAGTGATGATGGATGGTGTTATATGTACTCATGATGGATGGTGTTAAATGTAATGATGGTGGATGGTGTTATATGTAGTGATGATGGATGGTGTTATATGTAGTCATGATGGATGATGTTATATGTAGTCATGATGGATGTTGTTATATGTAGTGATGATTAGACAATCTACCTATATACTAGCTTAACCCCTTGAGTACGACAAGTTAACCACTTGACTACAATGCCCTAACCACCTGAGTACGATGATAACCTTTTGAGTACAATACCTTAGCGGTTTAGCCCCTTAAGTACGATGTCATTCCTTTCAGTACAATAAATCAGTCCCTTGAGTACGATCAGTTAATTCCTTGAGTACAAGAACTTAACCTCGCCATCTAATGTAAACTATGAATATTTTTAAAACACATAAATTTGTACACACTTAAAGCTTTACGGTTATGTTAGGTTAACTAAACACAGGAGTAACGCTGTTCTCAATAGGTTGTATGATAACTTTTCCCCATAATGGACTAGTTGACGGTCTTGGTAAACACGAGAAATACACTCTGCCACGTTCGTAGAGTGATACGGTATATAAAATTTGTAATAAAGGTTTAAAGTCCTGCTATAATAGTCGAGATAAGTTTATTTCCTAGAAACAGGACCGCCATTTGCAATGACGTCACTAGTTTCAAACACTGCTGGGCTGCAGTCGTAGATAGTAGAAAGGATGGCTTCTTCTGACCCCAAATTCCACATTCAGGTAAATTTTAAGGGTGATTTTTTATGGTCTAAGTCATGGACATTTCGTAAGTGAAGAAATGTGCCATGAAGAGCAGCTTCAAACATAGGTTGGATGGATATAAGAGCGATAGGGGTCGGTAAATGGGATTGCCCACTGTGCCCAGCATGGCCCGCTGCAGTGTCCATCATTCTTATGTTCTTTTGGACATAAAACTCCCATGGTCACACCAGCTCAGCTGTCATGTACTCTTACCTGGTAGACTTTCTCTTTTTTTTTCAGTGCATTTACAGAGTATATCAGTACGAGTAAATCTAGAAGTGATGACATTGTCTGGACTTTGTTTTGATAAATGCCTGATAATAGCTAAATATGACAACATAGTGCTGTTATTGTTTTGATGATTCACTAATGAACCACTGGGATATATCATTTATATTAATTAATTGGTAAAATTTTACTATAACTACCATAAGTATTTGGATGTTTAGATTCGAGAAAGGCTATATTGGGTAAATTTTAAGTTTAGGTCATCCCTGTACTTAGACATGCAGGCTGTTTTTTTCTGATGGTTTGCGATGTGTTTTGAACGATTTAGACCTTCATTTCTATCGGAAATCACTAGTTTTGAGTTACTACCCCCGATGTAGGTTAAGGTAACCTTGTTATGCGATCTAAAAATGTTTTATGACAGAAATCCTGTAGAGATAACGTGTCTTATTGTTTAAAAGTACTTAATCCCAGTTAGAATCTTAAGGTTCCCCAAATGACTAAAACCAAAATAATATAAATATTGTTTGGAATGTTTATACTATGAAATTTGTTGTATGGGCAGCTAATTGCTATTGTACTATTGTATTAGTTTATGTGCTTAGTTATATTTACATATTCAAAATAGTATTACTGTGTTGCACAATAAAGCACAATTAATTATCTAATAATATTTATTTACTGAGCTCATCAGCCGAGAAGGTTGGCTGCCTCCCGCTGGCAAGTTCATCCCAACCAGTGACGTCACAACCAATCACAGAGCTTTTCGCAGTCACGTGACTTTTTAGCGACTTTAACCCTTATTTTTGAAATTTTTTGGCCCAATTCATTAAAAAATATCATTACCATAGTGAATTTAAGTGCTTTACCCATTGACCTGCCATTTCACGAAAAAATTCCGACCGTTAACTGTCATAGAGGTCCTAGTACATTTTGGAGGCCATTTTATGTAAATTATTCAATGTCGCAGATATTATGATATAGTATAATACACTCTCGCATCCCCAGTTAAGGTAAATAAAACATAAATAAAGGTGTATTTGCACAAAATGAACAGAGGGTAATAAATTGTAATGTTTTTTTTCCTAAGAAAACGTCAATAAAAAGAGAAACCATTGTTGTTGGTTTTTTTGGGGATAATGAGGAATGGGAATAACAATCCCGGAACTCACTGGCAACTCTACCAAAACTCACCTTCATAAAACATTACACTTCTAAAAATATGTAAACAAGTCTTTTCTTGGTCACTAAAATTACTTAATTTTTGTTGTCCATTTTCAACGGAATGTTTTAATTAGTAAGTCGTCTAAATTTACGTAGGTGTAAATTATAAAGAATGTAAGCAAGTTTATTTGTTTACGAATGACCGGGAAACACGAACATTCCTCAACCCAATTCAGTCTACTTGATTCCGGATTCACCAAAGCCTAAGACAACTTTCCTCTTGACTAGAGCAGTGAAAATTCCTGAAACTGTGTGTCCTGATTTAAGTGAGCCAGACGCGTTCTCAACAACCTGACTTAGGAGAATAATCAAAATACGAATCACTGAGAATCCGTCTTGGTATCGTAGCTTAAGAGAATCAGTTAGACAAGTTATCATGAGAACAGCTAGGAGAATTTTTTTTTAAGAATAACTGAGAATTCTCGCCGTTCAACGTTCACCTGGAAGTTAAATATTACATATCACGTGACAATAACAGATGACGTCGCCAAGATTACCAGTAAATACCGAAAACCGTAATAATTTTCACTTCTGCTTATACTGCCAGACTGGGGTTACTAAGTCTAAGGAGATAACTTAACTCTAATCTTAATTTCTAAGGGTCGCTGCCACCAGACCCCTCTGACAGCATGTAGCTCGTTAGGTAGCGGGCAGAGTGGCCTAGGCATTGGGTTAGGTTTTCCATTGACCAGATCGATAAGGGTAAAGAAGGGGGAAACCATAACATGTCTTAATTGATTTATTCCTTATAAACATACTGGTAAAAAACATATACATGAATTGGCCTTCCTCAGAAGAACAACGGAATTTTGGTTACCCAGCTGGGCCCCAGACTCTTACATTACTGGCGGGTCATCCACCCACTTATTGCATAACAATCGGTGAACGTCTATCTCGGTCGCTCCTTCTTAATATCCTTAACACATCAGACTGCTCCACCTGTGTGGACTTTAGCACCGTCGGTTATCATACATAGTAGCACCATCTCCTGTTACACTCCATACCTGCAAGTATGTGACTCCTTGTGACTTTTGGTATACAACGGGCACCTCGTTCGCACACACGCCCTCGGTGGGTAAAGACGAGGCTTCACCTAGAGACATACCAGCACTATTTCTACACCTGGTATTATAGGTCGCTCCAAGTGACGACCGCAGTTTCTCACGGTCTCCTTAGTTGTGACTATTCATGTGAGTGGTGCTGGGAATCCACCGGTTCACAGTGGACTGGTATAGTGAGTAATCCCCACCTGTTGTGGCTCAAGGGGACAATGGCGGCCGGGCGGCAAGATCTCCGACCATGGCACCTGCGGTGACGGCAGAACGGGAAAGACTAGAAATAATGCCTGACGGGCGGTTATCCCACCTTAACACATCCCTATCACACTTATATATCCGGCAAAGCCTTAAACTGTAGTAACTTCTATTTATCAACCTTAATTGTAGGGCGGATATGGCTCCTAGGACCTGACCTGCGGTGACGACAGAACAGGAAAGACTAAGGCCGGCGTCCCGCCGCCTCCTCGTCACATAGGCCTACAGTTTCCAATCCTCAATTTACACTTTTGTTTCTTATGGTTCTCACCTGAACACTT